ACAGGTGTGAGGGCATCAGAAGAAATGGCACGAATGGATCTGGGAAGAATGAACAATTACAAATCAGTAATCAGAAAAGTGGGAAATGATTTGGGTGTCGATCCTGCCCTGATTGCTGGCATCATCTCCAGGGAATCCAGAGCAGGAAACGCCCTGGATGATGGTTGGGGGGACCATGGCAATGGCTGGGGTCTCATGCAGGTTGGCAAATGCTGTTTATGTCCACATGAAAAGATTCAATGCCAATGTGACCCAAAGGCTCGGTTCTAATCCTGTGTTTAATCTGCAGGTGGATAAAAGACATCACACGATAGTCGGAGCCTGGAACAGCGAGGAGCATCTCCGCCAGGGAACAGGGATCCTGGTGAACTTCATTAAAACCATTCAGAAGAAGTTCCCTGGATGGAGCAAAGAGCAGCAGCTGAAAGGTTTGATGCTTTAGTGAAGCTGGGATTTATCTCTGCATGTCAGGAAGAAAGAAATGGAAAGTTTCTAACTTGATCCAAAACCTTTTCTGCAGATCAATGCTTCCTTTATTGGAACAGTTGGAAGCAGAAGTAGAAGGAATAGAGGAAGTTCTTAGAACGAATCTAAACGCAAAGTGTTCATAATGTGATCAAATATTTCCTCTTTTAATAAATGCGTCCGTTTGGTGAAAGAACTCATATCGTTTACAGAAAATCCCACCCTGGGTCGAGCCTGACCGCCAAAATGGCGGGAAACTTTCCCTACAGGAACATGGTGGTTAAAAAAGTCCAAAAACATTTTCCTGCTGTGGATCTCAGTAGCGGCCATTTTGAAAGCGATCGTCTGTTATGGTCATTTGGACCAAACCTTTAAACTCTGTCAGTTTCCTTCCTATGAGCAGCCATGGAAAACAGATCTGATAAACTGCTTTTCTATTTAGTTTTTAACACATTTTTATTTTATTTTATGGTTTGAATTTCCATCATTCTTTATAAATTCTATTCAGTTTATTTCTATAGCTCTAATTCACATCATGTCACTTTATAGAGATAATTCAACCAGATCATCCAGTCAGATTGATTC